CTGTGGTCCCAGCTACTTGGGAGGCGGAGGCAGGAGACTCGCTTGAGCCCAGGAGTTGGAGGTTGCTGTGAGCTGTAATGCCACAGCACTCTGCCCAGGGGGACAGCTTGAGGCTCTGTCTCAAAAAAAAAATAAAATAAATAAAATTTTCCTCTTTTCCTCTGCATATCTCATGGTCTTTTGTTAACATCCCATACCAATTGTTGGTATGCAACATAATGTTGTATCCAACAATCTCAATTTAATTCTGACACCTATCTACCTGGATTTAGCATCAGATCCTACAAATTAAGGGCTCAGTACTACAAGACTGCACCACTTCAGATGCCAATCACAAGTCCAGGCCTCCTATACTTCTGACTGGCTATAAATCAGAGGGTCCCACAATTTCCTTCTTGAGTTCAACAATTTGCTAAAATGGCTCATGGAACGAAGGAAAACACTTGACTTATGTTTGTCAGTTTATTAAAAAGGACATAAAGGTGGGGCAGCACCTATGGCTCAAAGGAGTAGGGCACCAGCCCCATATGCCAGAGGTGGTGGGTTCAAACCCAGCCAGGGCCAAGAATTGCAAAAAAACAAAACAAAACAAAAGAGAAAAAGACATAAAGGAGAAAGATGAATACAAAAATGAAGAGGCGGCTGGCCTGGGCTGGATTCGAACCTGCCACCTTACGTGTATGTGGCTGGCACCTTAGCCACTTGAGCCACAGGCGCCAAGCCTATTCACTAGTTTTAAATGGCTACTGGTTAAATCTGGTGTGTAGACAAAAGTAATATAGATATCAAAGTCTACAATACACAGGAAGATCTATAATGTACAAAGATATTTCATGTAAATAGTAGTTGTTTATTTCTAAGGCAAATAAAAAAAACACTGTTTGATAAGTTTATGTTTAGCACATAACATTTCTCTATCTCTTCTGCATTCCTCTTCCTCATTTCTAATATCTATTCCCAAAGAATTTTCAAGCTTTCCCCAAATGCTCAATTTCCTACTATAGGACTAGAAAAGTGTGCTAAGAAAAGTAGTTTTTCTATACTCTCATATAAAACACATTTTTTTCCTCCAAGAAAAGTAGTTTTTCTACACTCTCATATAGAACACTTCTGACACAACAGGTGAATTTTTTTCCCATAGCAACCAATTCTCCTTGTGAAAGTATGCCCCTGCCACAGACAAGATGGACTCCCTGTGGCTAACTGAAGTGTTCAAAGTAGAAGCAAGCAGTCAGAGCTGGTGAGGGAGAGGTCATGTATCCTGTGTTCTCCAGAGATGTTGTAAAAGTATCACAGGATTTGCCTTTCTACAATCAAGCCAAACCAGTTCCTGTTGCCAGTACCAAGATAAACTGTGGCTACTCCCCCCATCACCTTTGAAAGAAATATATGATATAGACGTATGGCCCATATGGTTTGGGCCTTGTGACCAATCAGAACTGAAGAAGTTTGAATCTTACATTTATATAAAGCACTTGATTGAAAACTAGGGCAACAACTTTCCCTATTTAGGCTAGACCCTCCCTTTGTTCTTCAGAGAGCAGACTTTCATTGGTACTCAGGACTCAAGGCTGTGCCTCCCCAATCTGCAGATTGTTTTTTATAAAAAATAAAATTTTCGGCTCGGCGCCTATAGCTCAACC